GCCTGTGTCTGTAGTAACCCCCCTCTCTCTCCTCTCTCTCTTTCTCTCTGTGTGCTGCAGACATGTCCAGCCGGCCCGTGTGCAGACACTTCATGATGAAGGGCAGCTGTCGCTACGAGAACAACTGTGCTTTCTACCACCCTGGGGTCAACGGCCCCCCGCTGCCCTAGACACCCCGCGGAGCCCCGGAGGTGGGCTGGACTCACCAGCGGAGACAGCGCACACACACACACACTCACTCAAGCGATTAAAACGATGGACTCCCCCTGTCGTCTTCCCCCACCCTCCCTCGCCTGGTGCTGCTGGGGTGTGACTCCTCCCTCCCGGCCCCCTGGAGGAGGAGCAGGAGGAGGAGGAGGAGGGGTGGGGCTGGCCGGGCACAACACCAGGCACAACGCGGAGGAGGCCCTAACACAGCGGGGCTCGGCGCAGGCTGCCGGGACTGTACAGAGGCGGCCGGGGAGGGGGGTGGGGCATCTGTGTGGAGGGGCTTCATTCTGTACACGGCTCCGGTCCGCTACCACCCCCCGCCACCACCACCACCACCGCGGGCGAGCGTATGTGTCAGGGCCCTGTAAGAGCGCGCCTCCTGTTGTGCAGCCAGCAGGGGGGCGCGCGCGCCGGGGTCCCCCGCGCCCAGCCGAAGAGCCCCCGTTGCACAGCTGCACAGTGACCACTACCGGGGGTGTCATGGCCGGTGGGTGGGTGGGTGGGGTGGGGTACAGGACCACTCCCCCCCCATTTCTTGCGAACCACTTTTTTCCCCCGGGAGTGGAAAGATCGGATTTCGGGGTCCCCCATCGGTCGGTCGGTCGGTGGGGGGGGCCGGGGTGGGAAGGAGACGGTTTTACAAAGGGGCGCAGGTGACCAATCGGTGTTGTTTGTGGGGGGGTGTCTCTGTTCAGGTTTAGGGGATCAGGAGCCCCGTTTCTCTGTCAGCTGTGAGGGACCCCCCTCCAGCTCGGGGGGGGGCTGTGGTGTTTGAAGGGGAGCGACTCTCTCTTCTCTCCTCTCCCCCCCGTCCTTGTGGGGGGGGTGGTCTGGTTGGGGGGACCTGGAGGGGGTGGGAGGGTCCCGCCCATGAGGGACAGCACCCCAACACCTGGGGCTGCTCAGAAGTGTGTGTGGGGGGGGTGTCCCCCACTTTCAGGAGCCGGGGGTTGTATTACACACCCCCCTCTGAGCTCCCCCACGTGTGTGTGTGTTTTTCTGCCCCCCCCCAGTTGTGGGGTCCCCCAGCCTGCTGCTGAGGGGCCGCTGCTCGAGCGGATTTGAAGTTCGCTTCCCCTCCTGCCTGGGGGGCGTCGTTCCATGTAGGTCAGTATTAGCCCAGCCCAGACACAACACCCGGCACAACCGGGAGGGGGCTCACACTCCCCACCACCACCCCCAGCCCACCCCGGCTCCCCGAAATCCCCAAGATTCGGGGGATCGATTCCTCACCCCCACACCCACCCACCCCCCTTGAAGCGCTACAGAAGCCACATGACGGGGGCCCTCACGCTAAACAGCGCTGGGTCTTCGAACCCGGGTCCGGCGAGCCAGCTGATTTTATTTATTGTGGGGTGGAGGATTGGACAGGGGGGGGTCTTCGCTGCAGGCCGGTGGTGTGGAAAGGAATCACGTTGCTGTCCCCTTCTCCCCAACCCCCCCAACCAAGACCTTCGTCCTGGGTCACAGCCCGGATCCGAACCCGCAGCCCCCCATCCCACGCCCTGCTGGGGGTTACTGGGACAGACTGTTTTATAAAAACAGACTCCACGCCCTCCCTCCCTCCCTCCCTCCAGGTCTGTCTCCCTCTCGCCCCCCCCC